TGTTAACTCTTACTTGATTTGTTATTTTTTTGTCCTTTGTAAATCAGTATGTGTCATGATGTTTTGGACTAAGTTTTTTTTACGTAGCATGATTGTTTTTTTTTTTTTGGATTTTTGTTTGTGCCTTTTTGGTTTCACGATTAATTAACACACGTTGATCTTAAAGATGGAAGATGATGCAAAGATTGTGTACACCACTTTGAGATTACTAAAGGAAACAACAAGGTGATACAAAACCTTTACTTCCACTTATATATTTGATGTTCATCGCGATCTTCTTAAAATTGATGTCTTTTCTTGAACTATATATGTCTTTTTTTGAACCACTTATATACAGACAATACTCTACCGATTAGTTTCATTTGGCTATTCTCTTTATTCATATAATGTTTATAGTTATTGCTGCGAATTTCTCTTTTGAAATTATATATTTACTATATATTTTTGAATATTTTATTGGTATAGGTAAAATATTCAAAGATATTATTGATATCGAGTTAATTTGTGAGATTGTAAAGGCCAATGGATGGGGGTTATGAAAAGTGGATTATGAGTACTCTTTCGATCATTCTCTATTCTGGTAATGTTGATGAACCTCTTGAGCTTTGCAATGCTACTTTTGACTTGTTTTGTGGTTTGTTATCAGAGTGCTAAGTGTTGATGCGGAAGAAGTTGAAGGAAATTCTAAAGAAGAAAAAGAATAATCAGAAGAAGAGAAATAAGAAGTTAGAAAAGAAGAAGAAAATATTTTTTTTAGATGGAAGTGAAAGAAAAAAACAAAATATGAAGAAGAAGACAAAGTAGAAAAGAGTTAAGACGAGAAAGAATATGAAGTCGAGCTGAAATTTTTTGAGAAGAATAAGAAATCTGAGAAGATGAAGATGATAAAATGAGTGGGCAGGATAAAATTAAGAAAAAATCTTGAGAAAAGATGAGAAAGAAAACTGGAAAATAAAGAAAAAGCAAAAGTTGTAGGAGATGAAGACCATGAAGAATGAAAAGACAAGTAAGAAGAGGAAAATAATAAAACGGTGAATAAGAAATTGGAATAGACAACAAAAAAATGAATAAAATTAGAAAAAAAAAGAGAAATAATAAGGTAATGATGAAGAAAAAGTAAAAGATCAGTAAGGTGGAGAAGAAAAGTATGAGTAAGAACTCGGAGAAAAAGAAAACAAAGCAATAAGATGAAAAGAAGAAAAAGAAAACTGAAATATGAAGAAGACAAAGTAGAATAAAGTAACTAACAAGTGGAAGAATAAGAAGTCAAAGTAAATGAAGACAATAGAATATAAATGAGTAGAAAAAGAAAAAGGTAAAGTTATATGAGATGAAGACGATGAAGAATGCAAAAAGTGAGAGCATGATAATGAAAAAAATTGAAAGATATAGAAAAAGAAAGATGAAAAGGCCAGAGAAGGCAAGGAAGAAGACATGGACAAATTTAAAGAAGATGAAGGAGAGGAACGTAAGAGAGTTGGAGAATAATAAAAACCAGAAAAAGAAGTAAAATAAATACACTGGAGAATGAAGAAAATAAAAGTAGAAGAAGGATAGACTAGAAAATTAAGAAAATAAAACCAACAAATAATAAGAAGTTTAAATGAGATGAAGATGATAAAGATAATTAGAATGAGAAGACAAGCAAAAAAATTCAAAAGATGAAAAAGCAAAAGAAGAAGTTGGAAAAAAAAATATGAAGACGATGAAGAAATAAAAATAATAATTTAAAAGTGCCAAAATTAGAAAGAAAAAAAAAGATGATGAAAGCGATGAAGAAGAAGAAGAAAAACCAAAGACATATAAGCCAAAGTAGAAGTCTAGATGAGTTCATTTCTAAGAATTCTATAGGACATTAAAAGATATTGTTAAAAATCTACTGAGCTATTTCAATACAAATTTGGTTTCAAAACTGAAAAGTGTGTTATACCTGTAAATATAAATTCTCTCGAAACAAACATAAGATAATACTGTATGGTATTGTATATATTTGTTTTTCTTCAAATGTTACCGATTTCTTAATATGTTTATGACCACATGGCATAGACAACCTAGCTATTTCAAAATTGTATAAGGTAAAATAAGCGATATTGTCACAAGATTAGGTGTTTTTTGGGTTTACGATATGTTTTTTTTTTGCCTTTGTGCTACGATGCAGGGATTCTTAAAAGTCTCTGAAATAGATACTTGGTTGTCGATACCGCGGTTGAAATTAAAGATGATCTTCGATGATATACATGTTAGTTTTCTCATTCGAACTCTAAATTATTGTTCTATCTTCTTATAACTTCAACGGTGTATTTGTGTCTCACTTGAGTTTTAGATAATGTTTTCAGAGATTAAAGATACAAGCTTCAATTGGAAATAAATACATTCACTTGTTTGAAGATCAACTTATTGAAGGTCGATGGGAGCTCTTGTGTGGTTTTGTAGTAAAAATTTATAATGGTTGAACGTGTGTAGCAAGGCATCCTTTTAAGCTGAAGTTTGTTACAAACACAAAATTTATTCCCGTTTGTCGTCTTGGAGACAATGTATTTCTATCTTTCGCTGACTTTGGGGGTGTTCTTAGTAGTCGACTGGATGTCATGTATACTATCGGTAGATTTTATTATACTGAATAATAGTAACGTTCGTGGTAAACGAAAAAAAGATTTTAAATTTTGTCTACCTATCTTTTAGATTTAATTGGTGTTCTTGTCAGTATTGGTGAGCTCGTGGTTTTTGATGAGCATAAGATACAAGAAGATTATGCTGTTCTTCCTTTTGAGCTCCAAGATGACAGGTAAGAAAATTATCTATTTGTCATCATATTATCAATTTATTCGGTTGTTAGAAAGTTATATTCTGTAGGAAGCATGTGATCAAATGTTACACGATAGAGAAATTAGCTGAAGATTTTGCCTTGCAATGGTCTCAAAATCGTGATGCAGAAATTGTTTGTATTCTGAAGTTGGGACCTTATATGTTCTTTTTGAATGTCTGCCTAAAAGTCTTTGTATTTGTTTATTTGTCTTTTATTCTTTGTATATCCTGCGTCTAATTGATGAGTAAAAAAAGAAATTTACAAATGTTTAGTTATAATAAATAGATGAAATAATCCTGAATGTATTTATTTACTAAACGATAATTTTTATTCAAAATTATTATTTGTATACACTTCGGCCCGCGCATGGCGCAGACGAAACACCTAGTATTCTTTTAGAAGTTTAGCAATAATATTCTTTAATTTGAATACTCTAAATGGATTCATATTTCTTACATCTAAAACTAAAATAAAGCTTTTATAAATCAATACTTAAGGGGTGATATTGGATGATTGAATTAGATAGAATGTACAAGAATTAAAAAATATTTGATTTTTATGTAATTTAAAGTGTTTTGTTAGCATTTAAACTAATTCTATCAAAATTAAAGTAAAAATGATAGGAATTAATTCTTTCCAATTTTTAAATGAGATACTATAAAATTCTTTTCAAATGATAATACTACCAAAGCTCTTACAAAATTGAATAACACTAGCATTTAATAGAATTAGAAAACTAATAAATTGAATAACATTAGAATTCAAAATTGTTTAATAGAATACATATAAATAATCAATCCAATAGCACATGAATTTAACAGAATTCATAAAATATATAATTGAATAATATCAGAATTGAAAAGAATGTTCAATTTTTTTCAAATTCTTTAAATTTTAAATTGAATAACCACACCTTAATAAATTTATAGCAGTTATAAATTAATAAAATTTGTCTGTTTCAATTAATCAAATATAAAAATTAATAAAATTTAATATTACAATACAATAATAATTAAAAAATCTTATGTAAACATATGGTTCAAATAATAAAATTCTAAATATATATGTATATATATATTATCATCAATTAATATATTATCATCACGAATAATTATTTCACATTTCCTATAAATCTTATATACTTATATATAATAATAATATTTTATCACACATCAAATAACTATTATACTCAATTCAATCATAATCTTAGCAATTATGAAGCATAGTAAAACATATTTAAAATCAACACGGATTTATCCTCATTTGAATTAACGACAATCCGACAAAATAATGATGGAACTTATACATAAAACTTGGATCTAGGTGACTTGCTACACAAAAAACAGGTTGTGACTTGGTTTAGCTTCATTAGTTGACTCGACCGTGATGGAATTTGATATTTGATAACAGATTCTTCATCTCAAGTTAACGTGGCTCCTTGTCAGTGATGAATGTGGCAAGGGTGAATCCAGAATGTTTATTAACTGGGGGCACAAATGTTTAATTAATAAAATATTTAAATTTAATTAAATACTAACTAAAATATTTAAGGATTTTTGATGAAAAAGTTGGAAAACAAAAATGAATTTTTATGATTTCAGTTGATTATACTATTTTTTTATATAATTTTAGTTATTTATCTTTTTGCTTGGATTTTTGTATTTTTGTTTTGAGTTAATTGAACAATTTAAAAGAATGGGTGCACAATCTCAAAATTTAATGGTTGTACAATCAAAGTTAGTTAAAAAGTATACTAATTTTTTTTAAAAAACAATGGGTGCATGTACACCCCTTCTCCTTTCACTACCTTCGCCCCAGAACGTGGGCATCAACCATTAGAAACGGCGACTCTACCCCTCGATAAATTAACTGAATTAATTAAAATTTTTCTTGATTTAACCAATTTAAATCAAATTTTAACCGAAAATTAAAAAAAATCGATTAGTGTGGGTGAGAAAATTAAACCCAGACAACCTGATACCCGATTCTAACGGAAATTTATTTCAGTTATGTTTGGTAGAATTTTATCGAACTGAACTATTCGACTAACAGAACTATCAAAAATCGCAGGCTCACTGCCTTTTTATAAGCAAACATATCCATCAAAATATTCACACACATATATATATATACATATATCTATATATAGATATATATTATTTTGTATATGCATATTAGAACTTCAATCCTAATATTTAAATATAAAAGATATTATTGGGTTTTATTTCAAAGAATTATCTCTCAAAATTTCATTTATTGAGCATTTTAAGTATACATATGTTATGTGATACATAAAACATAGTTTTAACTAATATTTTTAATGATGAATTTCAAAACATGATCAAGGACACTTCTGTCCGCCTTTGGAGTTTTTTAAATCTCGATAGCAAGGACATTCATTTCTGTTTCCAAAAGTGCCTGAGGGAACACAATAATTACACTCTTCACAACATATGTTGCAAAACCTGAGACAATATTCTAGTCGCGATGTCTTTGAGCATCTCACATTGCACTTTTCACCACATGCTGTATATTCATTCACCATCACATTTAAAGTTAAAATTCTAAACGACAAGATCCAAATGATACATTATTTGAAGCAATATTAAGTAAATCAAGTATACTTACGTGAATCAGCGGTTGAAAATATGCAAAATGATGACGTGAGAATAAAAAATATAATGGAGAATTGTACTATAGCGAGTTTCACCTTTGTTTTTGGTTAAACTTTGAAAGTTTTACTTATTTCTTTTCTTGATATAGATTGTTACCTAAGAAAGACAAGGAAAAAGTGGTGATTACTTAGGAGATGATAAAACTGTGGCTAGAGAGTTGATTACTTATACTGAAAAAGATTGAAATGAAATTTGTGTTATCTCTTTTTCTTAATTCAAATAAAAAATCTTTAAATAAAGATTTCTTTCTTATTATGATGGACTATTTACAGCTAATTATAGCTCATATATGAAAAAAATAATTTAAAAATAAAGATTTCTTTCTTATTTATATCGTACTTCAAATAGAAGTTTATGAATTGTATATATGTATTCTTACAACACATATTTTTTTAATTTAACATGACAAGTTATAACAAAATGTTCAGATTAGTATGACACAAAAAGTTCTAAACTTTTATAATTATTGGTAATTTTATTCCAAATCTTACCTATTTCAAATTAACAGATAGTAAAACAGGATTACATGTGACGTGTATTCCAACTATTACAGACGACACTGCAACTTGAGCTGGTAAACCACAAAATGAAAATAAGCTTAGAAGAACTTTGGGATTGACTGGTAAATCAATTGAATAGCAGAATAGTAATATAACTCAATTGTAAAATTGCATAATCAATAAGAAAAAATTAAAACTAAACAAAGTAGCGAAATCAATAGAATGTAAAAACTGAAAACTAATTAAATTTAGAATGCCAGAAAGCTATAATTTATTAGATGAATAGTTTTTTTTCGTCTATAGTAGTTATAATGTTAAAACGCGTGAGATAGATTCAAAATCGTGTGTATTCGTAATAGTATGTATTCGTTAAAATTATGAATAATATGTATTCACTAAAATCATGTTTTCAAACCGTGAAAACTTGATTAAACTACATACATTCAAACCTTTCAGTTATTCTTTACTGGATTTCTTGTTAAGATTCCACTTTCATAACAGTTCATTTTTATTCTATAAAGTCTATGTTTTTTTAAATGGATGTTGCATCTAGATTTAGATGTTAATGCAATATTAAGATTCAAATTCTATATGCAATATTTATATATTATTTGTTTTTACAACTAAAAATCAAAAATTGTTGTGAAGTTTTGTGTGAAAATGCGGTTTTGCGATCTTTAGTGTGAAAACAGGGTTTTGTAGTTTTGATGAGGAACATGGTTTTGCGATCACAGTTTTGCGGTTTTGAACGAAAAACATTGTTTTGCGGTTTTGGATAGAAAATGTAAATTTACGGTTTTGGTATGAAAATATAGTTGTAATTCTGAAATAAAATGTGTGTCTGATTTTTGTTGAAATATGCTGTTTTACAGTTTTGTGTGGAAAAATATGTTTTGTGACTTTGACAAAAAACACAAGTTTGGATTTTAAGGAAAAAAATAGTTTTGCAATACGGTAGAAAAATACGATTTATAATTTTATAGTTCTGATAAAATAATATCCTTTTAATGTTTTAATAGAAAATATAATTTTGCAGTTTTGGCAAAAAATTACGATTAGGAAACAAGAATGTTTTTGAAACTATAAATTTCATACTCGTTATAGATATGCAAACTTTTTGGTGCAAAGAGTAATAGATTTGATCCATTGGAAAATTTTGAAGTTTAGAATTTTCAGTTATATTCATAAGTCAACATATTAGAGAAGTCGATCAAAGCTCTGACATCAGATTCTGGCTTCTCAGAGCTCCACAGGATCGAATTGGACATCGTAACCTTAGCAAAAAACTTTAATTTCTTATCTTTAGTTTCATTAATCGCAATTCAAATTCTGTAATTGATGGGCTGGCCAAGCAGGCCTTAAACTTGTACGACCCAACCCAAATTAATGATGAAATTGAGTGTTTGGACCCCCCAAAAAAAGAAGAGAAGTCGATTGGAGGAAGCTCGATTTAAACAAATCGGTGTATTTAATTGGATTGTGAGACATATTGTCATTCTGAAAGCTGCTGCTAAGTCGCATATGGCGTCATAGTATGAGGTATGAGCTTCTTATAAGACATTAATTATGTTAAAACATTTCTTGTAGCAAGTGTCGAATAATATAAATGGAAACCAACTTTAGATAGTTGAGAGAAGAAGACTAATATTGACACATTATGATTTATTTAGATGATATAGAAAGTAGAAGGCGTATTCAATCTAGGATTAACTGGCTTATACCTAATACGAGGATACAAACACAAACCAGAAACATCTTCTTAAGATACTAGAAGAGTCTAGTTTTTTTTGTCACACACACGACAACTATTAACACGTAGATGTGGTGTCTTATTCGATATGCTTGTTTAGACAATTTATACTGCCATCACAGAGCCTTTAATTGGTGCAGAAAGTAGAACATATATTACAAGAAAACAGTGAATTAAGAAAAAGTTCAAAAAAAAAAAACAGTGAATTTGTGCCTATTTTTTTTTTTGACACTTATGTTGGTCGTAAACCTAATGTGATGAGTTTCCGATTTATCAACGACTATCACATCGGAAGAGGCAAAAGAGTCGCAATGTATGACTAAAGATATTAGTAAAAAAACCATAGTTATATAGTAATGAATTGGTATCAATTATACTTAAAAATAATATATTGTATAACAAAAATATAATTGGGATGTCGGAATTACCGAGCTTCTGAGAGAAGGATTCTTCAAAATCGCAAAAATACAAATGACAGGAATCATTAGCCAAGTTGCTCAAATGTGTGGGTTTATTGGAACACTTCAGATGCAATGGTATGCTCTAACTCATCGCAGTGCGATAATTCTAACACTGGCGGTCTTGGAGTCCTCAAACACGTATCGGGTCAAAAATCATATTTGCGAGTTCAACAAGAAATGATAAAACGTTTTTCGTTGAATTTTAAAATAGCATTTTACATAATTAATATGTTTGTGCATCATTGTAGGAGGATGAATTGGGGCGCCCTGTATCGCTTGGAGAAGTGTTTATGAGAACATATGCAAAGGCATACTGAACTTTTGTTGATCAAAAGGCCAAACTAGTAGTTGAGGCTTACGAGAAGAATCTAGTAGAAATAAGGACTCGAATGGATGTCCATAGTCTAGGGGTTAAATTTTTTGATATTCTATCATTATTGGTTCATAAATTCTTCAAATCTCAATAAAATTCATTGTTATTGGTTTAAAGACTTTTAAAATTCATCTCAAATCATTTGTTATTCAAAAAGTCTAGTTATTATTAATTTTATAACTCTATTAAAATCTGATGTTATTAGAACATGTATTTACTATAATTTTACTCGTAAGACTTAACTTTCAAAATATCATGTATATACATAAGATTTTCAAAATCCATGCAAACAAAAGAAAAAAATCACACACATATTTTTGACATTTTATCATTAGTTATTGCATCGACTGAAATCAAACAATATAAAAAGGAGAAATCATAGTTAGTATAAGAATGTAATCTAGTCATTTTCAAAATCATGTGAACATAAAAAAAATCAAACTAAAATATAGAGAATTACAAAAATCAAACTCAAAATTAATATACAAAATTATAAAACATAAAATAATATATAACAACTAACATATTAATTATCCTGGTGGAAGAATAGTCATATGTTACATAAATAAATCAAGACAACAAATAAAACACAAAGTTTAAAACATAAACTAATAGTAAAAACAAAATTATTACTTGTTTCTGTCTGATCGAAGAACACGATGAAAGAGCAATACATCAATGAAGAGCAATATGTCAATAAAACGATCTTGTCTACATATGCCCACATTAAAAGAAAATTATTTAGAATGTTTTAATATACGTATTACCTTAAAATTTAACTTGTAGAAGAAACAAAAGAATATATTAATTGCAAAAATTAACAAAAATCAATAATAATCAATGAAAATACATAGTAATATATTATAATTATTCCCTTTGAATTTTTAAAATATTTCAACTTTACAAATTTTTAAAATCTACACAAATCCATCTCCAAGAAACCTTTTCTCAGAGAATTCCTTTGAAGAATCAACGTAACGACCCTAACAATTGAAGAAAAGAATTAAATATTCTTAAAGTAATTTCGTTTTTGGTTTTCCCTTCTTGGCATAGGACTAATTGATCTTAATCGCTGGTTTTGAGATTAGGAACTGGGACGTCTGATTATGCGTTGTTGATTGTATTTGTTGTTCTGAGCATTAGTACTTGATGTTAATTGTCTGGTTTTGAGTTTTGAATTGGGGTGTGTAATTTTTCGTTTCTGTTACATCTTCTGTTCTTTTGTTTGGTGTGATAATTCTGTTTCTTTATGTGCACGAATAATGATTGTTGGTTTGCTGAGCACGAATTGTTAGCACATATTTCATATTTGATGTTGATTGACTGATCAAAGGCTGTGAACTTTAAATGGAACGATTTCTTCTGTTGATTTTGTTTACTTCTTTTTATGTTGAAATGCTTGATATGTGTTAGTTCTTATACATTGGAAGAGAACTTTAATGTTTGACTTTTGATTTTGGTTTTTTCTCCATTTTGTCTTCTTTGTTTCTGGAATTTCCCAACTATAAGCCCTTTAGATAGCGAATTATACTGTAATACCTAAACGGCAGCCACCCTAAATACCATAGCGTATTTAAACATTCATCTTTAAGTTGCATGGGTAAAGACCATGATGTCACATGAATAACCCCGATCTCAAAATGTTTTACGACCAAAATCCACCAACTTAGTTTAACCAACACATATATTTTATTAAGGTGCAAAAGAATGGAAAAAGAGGGAAACGAGAAGAGAGATCAGTAATTTGGATCATTCAAGAGAATGAATCTGAAATGGTCTAAATATAAAATGTTATACAATGACCGTTTAAATGAGAATTAGACTGTAACACCCTAACCACTTCTACCAGAGAGTACCCACGTCTTCTCTTGGGTCTGTTGGCCCCACCCTATCCGACAGCTAGTACATTAGTCGGAAGGTTTGAAAGTTATGAAATATTCATTTTGTAATTACTATGTGATCTTTCCTTGTGTTTTGTCTTCACTCACATGGTACTTCAACTCAAGCACGCTTAACTTTGGAATTCTCTCAGGACCAATGACCGAAGAGATAAATGCACTTTAATAATATATGTATTCAAATCAATTTATTTAAACCTCTCT